ATGCTATCTGTATATATGCTCCTTTTTCTGATTAAGTTTTGTTTTGACATTCTGTCACGCTGTCTAATGTGGCTTTCTGGTTTGAATTGTTTATGTGCTATTCCTCGTGAAGTATGGAGGGTGTTGTTGCCTTTTGAAGTAGACGGAGAATTTGCCATATTGATCAGTAGCTGACTGGAATTGTTTAAATCTTGCGTGGGGAAAAAGAAGAGTGATTAGGGTAGGGAAGGGAAATGGAATGCAACAAAGATGAGGCCACCAGAGCAAAAGAGATTGCTGAGAAGAAGTTTATTGCAAAGGACATTGTGGGTGCTAGGAAATTTGCTCTGAAGGCCCAAAATCTGTATCCTGGACTTGACGGTATTTCACCACTGTTAGCAACTCTTGATATTCATTTATCTGCCACAAATAAGATAAATGGGGAAGTAGATTGGTATTCAATACTTGGGGTGAGTCCTCAAGCTGACGATGAAGCAGTGAGGAAACAGTATAGAAAGCTGGCTCTAATGCTTCACCCTGATAAAAACAAAGCTATAGGAGCTGATGGGGCATTTAAATATATTTCAGAGGCATGGAGTGTGTTGTCTGATAAGTCTAGGAGAGTAGCATATGATCAAAGGAGGAAGAATAAGGTATTTAATAAGGTTCCAAATTCAAGTGGAGTCTCATCAATGAGTACCAGTGCCAACAATTTCAAGCACTTCCCCAAAGGAAGTACTTCAAATGTGAGGGTTCCCAAAAGTACATCACGGGCCAGTCATTCTACAACTCCTGCTTCATCTCATAAACCAAAACCAAGTACCTTTTGGACTGTGTGCCATTCTTGCAAGATGCAATATGAGTATCTCAGAGTCTATCTTCATCATAATCTTCTGTGTCCCAACTGTCATGAGCCATTTTTGGCTGTAGAGATACCTCCGCCGACTATAAATGGCCCTAAGTCCCCTGCTCCTTGGAACTTCCCTCAGCAGCAACAGCACTCAAATCAAGCACCCAGCAAAAGCACAACGTTTTCAGAAAGAAACAATGGTGCCTTTAATGTTTCTGATTCCTATGGTCAAACCAACTTCCAATGGGGACCATTTTCTAGGGCTGGCACTGCTTCAGCGACGGCGCAAGCTGCTACTGTGGTCCAGCAGGCATATGAGAAAGTGAAGAGAGAGCGTGAGGAAGCACAGTCAGCTACAAAAAGAGAAGAGGCCTTGCACCGAAAGCAGCATTCCTCTAAACGATCCAGTGGTAGTTCGTCAGCTAATAATTCAGCAAAAAGAAGGAAAGGCACGGAAGACATTAACTCCCAAGCAAGCAATATTACCAATCACATGGGTGGTGAAATGGGAGGAGCTAGCATAGGTAATTTATCGGCGTCTAAGCAAGGTTATTTTGAAACATTTAAAGTAAATGCAAGTGCCAAATCCAATAACACAAAGGATATGCAGCTCGAAATTCAAAGCCTGTTGATGGAGAAAGTTAAGAAAGAAATTCGGAAGAAATTACAAGAATCTAGTTCCAGAAACAGCACCGGAACTGCAACGAATGAAGAGAGAAATGGGACTGAGAAAGTGAATATGAAAGAAGAAGGTAAAAAATCTTCAGTGGAAGCATGTGATCAAAAGAAGTCAGCTGAATCCCCGGATGGGAGGGATGAAGCTTGCTGCATCAGGTCTGCTCCTGGCACTTGTTCCATTAAAGACCCAGAAACTATAGAAATGCTGTCCATAAATGTTCAGGATCCAGATTTCCATGACTTTGACAAGGATCGAACTGAAAATTCTTTTGCTGAGAATCAGATATGGGCTGCATATGATAATGATGATGGGATGCCTCGGTATTATGCAATGATTCAAAATGTCATATCTTTAAATCCATTCAAGATGCGAATTAGTTGGCTTAATTCAAAAACTAACAGCGAATTGGGCTTGCTAAACTGGGTTGGTTGTGGTTTCTCAAAAACCTGTGGGGAGTTCAGAGTGGGAAAACATGAAATCTATAGCTCTCTCAATTCTTTTTCACACAAGGTTAGGTGGACAAAGGGCAGTCGTGGAACAATTTCTATATATCCAAGGAAAGGGGATGTTTGGGCACTCTATAGGAACTGGTCTCCTGACTGGAATGAGCTCACAGCGGATGAAGTGATACACAAGTATAGCATGGTCGAAGTACTTGAAGATTACAATGAAGAATTGGGGGTGAGAGTTGCCCCCTTGGTCAAGGTTGCTGGTTTCAAGACTGTGTTTCACCGGCACTTAGACGCAGGAGAAATTAGGAGGATTCCAAGAGAGGAAATGTTCCAATTCTCTCATCAGGTCCCTTCCTACTTGCTTACAGGTCAAGAAGCTGCCAATGCTCCAAAAGGTTGCCGGGAGCTTGACCCAGCTGCTACTCCTTGCGAACTTCTTCAGGTAATACATGATATTAAGGAAGAAGAGTTTGAGGAAAAGATTGTGGATGATGTGGAAAAATCTAATGATGTAAAGATAGTAGAAAATAGTGACGGCAGTAGAAAAGAAGATAATGAAAAATAGAAATAGATGTACAAAGTAAAGCGTGGTTGGTTGTCACTAATTTTGTTTGTGTACAAGAACGTGCGATTGAATGTTAGTCACACCGAATATTTGATAGTTGAAGGGAAGGGAGAGAGCACTAATTTATGAAGTGAAGTCTTTTGTGGTGTACATGAAGTTTGGAGGGAACTTCACTAGCGACAAAAAATTTAGAGGTTAAGGCAAGGGAGAGGATTATCTCCTGTTCTGAAATCCATATATTCAATGAGATTTTCTTTTTCTAAAAGTTAAACGAGGAAAAAGAAATATAAAGGATCATTGGATTTGCTTTTTTGTTTCCATATTCTTTTATGTTGCCTTCTTTTTGGACTGCACAAATATGATTCAGCCTATTTCGGCTTTAGTTGGTTGGAAACTGCAGCTTCTTTTTTGGTCCACTGCGGATTTCTTATGTTGACATTTTGAGCTCGGACACATTTTAGATTGGATCATATTGAGAACATGAACTCAAGAACAACCTGCCTGAAGGTACAAATTGGCCTAACTGATTTTTGGAAATCCTAAACTGTAAGTCTGGAATCTATCCCAGACATGACTAGACACGGGTAACAGTTTTAGACTTGCTATTGAGCATTGAGTTAACTAGGAGCATAATCAGTTAGTTTGACCCAAACGATGTTATATAATCTTTAACTTAAGCTAGGTATGCCTTCATTCATTGAAGGCACTTTTCCGACCTGAAATATGGTATTGCGCCTAGGTATGAACATAATTTGGCACATGGTAATATTAGACTTAGCAAACTACATGGTATGAAATCTAAAGTTTGCATACAATGTGTTGAAATATAATTAGATCTAGTACTTAATACAATATGAATAAAGATAAGAATCTTATATTATACATGATAAGACTATATCTTTATCCAAATTATAATTTACTAATGTAATTCACAAATTATTCATGTTATGTTGGGGGGAAAGTGATATGTGACATAACTATTGAAATAAGATTCAAAATAAGCATCAAAACTTATTCTTTTGACATAGACTCATTAATAGAATTGAATCATGAGGTCAAAACTTAATTTATTAATCTAAATTTACCGTCACACACGTATATTTTAATAAAAATATTATAGATAAAATATTTTAAAAATTTTATACTAATGTTATAGATAACTAAAGAAATCATTATTTGAAATTTGGATATAAATAAAAATGATATCTAATTCATAAGTTCATGTATTATTTGAAATTATTCATATCAATTCTTACAATTTGTGTTGAAATATGACGAGCACTTGGAAAAAAATTTTATTACTAACAATATGTTTAACACAGATTATATAAATATTATATGTATGTATTCATAATTTTTACATCAAGTTTATTCATTTATATTTTTATATTCATTAAATTATAAATTAAATGTAAATAATAATATAATAGTGTTAATATATATATATATATATATATGCAGACGATTAAAAAGAAACCCAAGCACCATAATCTCCCCCCTCCTCTCACCTATCACCAACGCCGGTGGCGTCCGAGGAAGCCGAGGTGGTGGAGTCGGGTCGGCAGCCGGTGTCGGTCTTGGGAGACTAACAAGTCTTCGTCTGTGCATTTGCCTTTATAAAAATGATATGTATATGAAAACCCACGAGTATAAATATATATGCACAGTAGTGGATGAGCACATTAATTTAAAATTTAATACTTACATAGTCAGGTGGTTATATATCCGACATTCGTCTAATAAGTATTAAGATAAATTATGAACCAATATTAATAATTTTAAATAATACAGAGAGTTCTGAAATATATATTTCATAAATGAAAATAAAAATTTTAAAAATCTGAGTAGATTTATTTACCATTCATGACAAACTCAACATATTTGCATTAAATTGTAATATTCTTATTCAAATTTATTATAAAAAATTATGTGTATTATACAAAAATACTGCTTGAACTAATTTCAAGAATTTTAAATAATACAGAAATTTCTGAAATATATATATCATAAATAAAAATAAAAATTTTAAAAATTCGAGTAAATTTATTTTCATTAGATTATACTATTTGTCACTGATTTTCAAGATTTATTTACCATTTACAACAAATTATTATTAAGATATATCATTTAAATTATTTGCATTAAATTATAATATTATTATTCAAATTTATTTGAAAAATGACATATATTACACAAAAATACTGTTTGAACCAATTTCAACAATTTTAAATAATACATACACTTATCAAATACATATCATAAATAAAAATATTTAAAAAAAAAATTGAATAGAATGATTTCAACTAATTGTCGGTTCAGTGTTTACTTACAAGATTGAGTCGGAGAAAACTGTTTTATTCAGTTCTTTTATTTTTTGTTCTAACCAATATGATTTTTTTCGTGGATAAATATCTAAATATGTTGATTATTATGTGATTGGATGTGGTCCAAATAAAATCATAGGAGATGTTTTTGACTTTAAACTTGTGGTCTCTCTACGAGTATGCTTAATACTTTCAATTTGATGTTATCTGTGTATATGCTCTTTTTTTCTGATTAGGTTTTGTTTTGATGTTAGAAGTTGTCAGTCGTAAATTAAATTTATTATATTTGTTGATGGTTATTATTAATTATAATAGTTGTAATAGTAACTATAAATATGCTTGTGCTTGAAATTTTTTTGTAAGAAACACAATAGAAAATTTTGAGTTTTCTAACATTTTCCTCCTATCTTTAACAAAGTGGTATCAAAATTTGATTTTTCGTTAAAATTTTAGAGATGACTAGTAATAATCTATTTTCTTTTTAATTTCTTCGTCATACAAAAGAAAACTATGAGAGTTGATGTTTTCATATGAAAGCCATACTTGACTCACAAGATGTGTGAGATATTATAGAAAGAGACTTTAATCTACCCGAAGAAGAATGATCCTTAACTCAAAATGAGAAGGATGCTTTTGCAAGAATAAAGAAGAATGATCAACAAACTCTTGCACTCATCCATCAAGGTTTGGATGAATCTATGTTTCTAAAGGTGACTGATGCTACCAACGCAAAGCAATCTTGGGAGATTTTAAAGAATTCCCTCCAAGAAGTTGACAAAGTAAAGAATGTACGACTCCAAACTTTACGAGGCGAGTTTAAAGCTTTACAAATGAAGGATGTTGAATCTATTTTAGATTTTTACTTAAGGGTAAAGTGTATAGTAATCCAAATGAGGAGATTTGGTGAGATGATGGAAGATGTTCGTGTGGTACAGAAAATTCTTCAA